ACAAACGGATGTGCGAACCGTTTTCAAGTTGCGCCCCAAAACTAAGTGTAAAGTTTCTTTTGTAAATTTTAAGTTTTGCTGCTGTTGCTGTTTTCATTTTCATTCTTGGGTTTGCTTTGGTTTGGTTTGGTTTGGTTTGGGTTGCGTTGGATGGTGTTGAGTCGGGTTGCTTCCCGCGTGGCGGTGTTGCGTTTGCTTGCCAGCTTATCAGATGTCACAAACAGACATGGCAGGCTCTCTGCTGTGATGCCATCACCCTTAGCACCCAATCTGACAGGTTGACAGGAGTTGGCTCCGTCAAGAAACAACCTGGAAGAATTTTTCATTTCGCGAATTAATCATGCATATGATGCGTGCTCATTAGACCGTGTGGTGGTGTGTGTTGGGTGGGTGGTGCGCTTACATGTGTACATATGTATATGTCTGCGTGTATGCTGGTTGGCTGACTGGCCTGTGGATTTCCCAAAACTTGCGCCTGGCTGCGTTTATAAGCTGCTCACATCGGTCGCTGCAAGAACGTTGATAAGGCGCCAAGTGTCATAACTATATGAACGAGGAATGGCCATCAGCTGCCAGTTGGATAGCACAAGGACGATAAAACGTGCGGGCCAGGCCATAAGATTAACTGACTCACTCACTCGTTGGCTGACTAGCTGACTGACTGACTCATGGATGGATGGACTGGTGGACTGGCCGCACGTTGTACTAATTAAAATTCGGCATTAATCCAGATGATTCAGCTGTCAACGTCTACCCGGATGACTGTAGTTGTCCCTAATGAAGCCAGATGCGGCTGCTGCTGCTGCTGACACTGATGCTACACACTCTGGCTGCGGCCGGTGCCAGCTTTTCAGCTTCAGGTTCGCAGTGGCCAATGCCCTGTCCAACCCGTCCATTATGTACGTGTGTAATTGAACCGTAGCCCGGCATATTAAAGAGCGTAATATAGCAGCAAGTTACAGTTCGCGTTGTTTTTACTATGGGCTCTGCTGCCCCTGCTGTCAGTAATATGTAATTATCAAAACCAACAAATAAGTTTCATGTGGTCGGCGTGAGGTTTTTGCGGTTTGCACGTTCGTTCGTTACCTCATCCGCTGGAATGGAATGGAATGGGATGGCTGGTTTAGGGCAGAGCTGGGCAAAGGGTCAGCCAACAGCTAATACGTGGGCCAGCCAGATAGTACAGTAGGTAACGGCAGTGCAGTTCAGAAGGTATCATATTGATGTTTGGCATAGAAGTGAAATATCATACAATATATGTTTCGTTTGTTTTATCATTTTACTATTCCATTAAATTTTTTTTTTAAATAAAAACAGGAAAAATGTTGATTAAAGATCATTATAGTTTTATTTTTATTTATTTACTATTTTTATGGTCCTCTTATGTCTGGTAAATCTAATTGCCTTAAATATTGACTAAATTTGTACCAAATGCTTTCCTTCAACCATTATCTATTTATTACTTCAATTATATTCTTTAACATCTTTAATCTTTTCGATGTTAGCTAATTAAAGAATCGATTATTTTCGACCAGAATTTTCAATTAAGATAACCTTTTATTTTGTTAAGTGAAAGCATGCCAAACTAATGCCCAAACCTGTTAGACAGTGTCTTAAGCTGAGTTGGGTTTTGTTTTTGCTGCAGCCTCAGCAAATATTCTACTTAATACGCGCATACACACACACATGCACTGGGGGCATGCAAACAGGCAAATGCGAAGTCAACGATTGTTTAGGATCAGGCGGGCATAGAGTAAGCTAACATCTGCATATTGTGCGCCTCGTTGGGCAGCTGGGCTGGGCAGGGCAGGGTGGGGCAGGGCCTATGGCTGGTTGGGCATCAGCTGCTGACCGAGTATGTGTTGGTAAAACTTTAACAAGCACTTAAGTATTAATCATGGAAATCAAAGTCAGCTGCGGGTTACGTATACACGGATTAGCGGCGTGAGTGTGTGTATATATGTATGTGCATAGGTATATGTGAGTGTTTATGTGTGGGTGTGTATGTTTATGTGCGGTCGAGGGCGCGTGTGTATGTGTGGTTGTGTGGGTGTGGGTGTGGGTGCTAGCTGTGCCCAAAACTTTGTTGCTGATGCTTGCCTTGGCTATCAATGTCGCAACCTCAAGGATTCAGATTCAGTGTCGGGGCACTGGCGACGACTAATGAGGCATTAAACCAAACTGCTTAACTTTTCGCCTGTCAAGCGTTTATTAAATTTACCGTTTTATTGGTCCAACAACTTGGTGTTAACTATGGGCTGTCGCTTGTCCAGTGGGCGTGCCGGGAGGCAAGCCTTAACTGAAATCAGATTACGTTGTTTACCACTTACTTCCAGCGGTTGCACAGTCAACCGGGCAGCAGCCATCCAGGCAGCCAGCCAGTCAGCCAGTAGTAGCAACAGCAACAACAACTACAGTTTCCACAGACACAGCCACACCCATTTACATGAAGGCCCCCACAACGAGCCAGTGCTTGCTTCCTGAGCCTGCTGCCATATTTAAATAGTTGCGAAGTTCAGCAAATTTTATTCCAAGTACGTAATTTCATTTTCGGAAATTGTATTAACCATTTATTTTGTCGAATTTTCCGCAATGGATGGCTAACGAATAGGCAGTGTGCTTAGCTCGTTTAAGCCAAAGCGACTAAGCTCGATGAAGTTTATTTTATTTTGCCGTCAACTGAGCTAAATTTTGGTAATTGGATAGAAAAGTTCTCCCACGCAGCATTGTCTTAATCAGAAACTCAAAATAATCACTGGTCATTTAGAAACATTTTCAACGCATTAATTAAACCAAAATTAAGCCAAATTCAACTTTTCAAAATTGCTGTGTAGCAAAAATCTGTCTGTTTCTGGTGGAAATGTAAGTTGCAGAACTTCAAGCAGAGAACGTAAAGTAGCTTAAAGTATTAAAATGAAAAATGTATTTCCGCAAAGTGCGAAATGTTTTATTATTTTGTTGTAATGTCATATTAAATGTAAAAAAGTACCAGAATTTCCAACAGTTATAGTAATTAAGTAATGGGCAACATTTCTCGTTAACGATCAAAAAATTACTTTAATAAGAATTTCACATTTAAAGTTAATGTGTGTTCTATGGAGAGCAGCAGAGACTTTTCTCGTAAAAGTATTAAAACGATGTGAATCATGCATTTGCTTAATGGAATATCAAACTATAATATTCCGTAATATTTTACTTTATTATTTTCTGTTTTGCCACAAAGAACTCTTATCTGTTTGGATACATTTTATTTATCTAGTAGAAAAAGGGCAAGCAAAGAAAGCATTGCATTAGAGGCATTTCTTTTCGTTTGCAAGCGGATTATTTAGCAATAAATTGAATTGAATTGACCAGAAARTCTAGAAACTCAATCAATCTATCGACGGCCAGCATATGCAGCAACTACATGCCTAAATAATGTAATGTTTTGATGGTGGCAACAAATCACAGTAGGCTAAAAGCACTTTGAAATATTTATGCATTCGGCATTGCGGATGTTTGGCCGACGTGAATGCCAAGCGATGGCGATTTTGATTTTGATTTTGCCAGTAATTCTGGAACTGTGACACTGACAGTGACAGCGACAGCGCAGCGACAGCGAGAGTGGCGGTGAAAATGGGAAAATGTGAAAGGAGCTTAAACTTTGCAAAAGTACTCAACGAAGCAATATCGTGGCCCAAAGGAAGAGGCAAGGCCGGGCCAGTGGGGCAGTGCGGCGAATGGAGAGTAGCAGTAAAAAGCCAATTTACTTTTAAGCATCGCAGCGCCTAAAAGTGAGCGACGAGGAATATTTCCATCGCCGTCAACAAATACAAAAGCAACAAAACTAGTGACAGACCAACTAAAAAGCAACTGCGGTTCCCTCTGTAATTCTGAAGCGGCGTCTGTGTCGGAAATGAATCCTGCATCTGTGGGTGCGTGCGAGCGAGAGCGCTGCATGTACGTGCCTTTAATATGTGTCTGCTCTCTCTCTCTCCCTCTCTATGTGTGTATCCCTCTCTGTGTGTGTGTGTGTGTGTGTGCCAGTCAGTGGCTGTTTGTGTGTTTTTGGCATTGAGTAATCATCAACGTTGAAAATTGCTTTTTTTATGGAGCCACCCACCAAAGCGCTGACATGGCCTAGCTATACTTAGCATATGTATAAGTACATATCAAAGTGTGTGTCTGTGTGTATACGTTCCTTTGAGTAGGTGTGCGACATGCGTGCCACGCAGCATGGGCAGGCAGTAAAATCCTTTTTTTATGACCCAGTCGCTCGCCCAGTTGAGGTCCTGCCAATGCGTATGCTTTCAAATGCGTGCGTGTGTGTGTGTGTGTGTGTGTGTGAGGGTATTACGAATTCTCTGCTTTGGTTGGCCTCGTCTTGCTATCTTGCGGTTTGTCGAGGACGCCGCACAAATTAATTTCGCAGCATATTCAAAGTGTTATTAAACATAATTTATTAAAAACGAAATTGTATAAAGTCAAGCCGTTGCTCTCATAGACTGAGCCCATGGCAGAGGCTGCTGCACTTGGGGGTGGTAATAAATTTTTGTGATTCCCGTTGCTGTTATTTTTGGGCAGGACTGAGCTGGTAAGCCCCTTGGTTTGGGATTGGATACGTATTCGTGCTCCGGCTCGAGTTCATGGGGTTCATGGGGTTCATGTGCGTGCCTCAGTCACTGCTCAACGGAATTTCGAAAATGGGCGGCTCGCTGTTTCTTTTTTTCTTGGCAACAAATGTTGCCAGTTAATGTTGTAAACAAGTTGTGTGGGCGTTCGACGGGGCTTGAACCCCTGGTTTGTCTGCTTGGGTTATGATATATGAGACAGGCATAGCAAATCGGAAATTTAATTTCCACTGAAAGTGGCTTTGTAATGGCTCTTAGCCGCATAATAACTGGCAGCTTAATTGCGGGCCATAATTTTGAGTGTCGCCTTCAATCGTCTTCCCTCGGCCAAAGCCCAGAGCTCGCAAACAAAAATTTAACAAAGCATCCTTTTTTGCCGTTGCTCGATAGGCTTTGCTGCATACCCACGATGTTGTTGCCCGGGACGTGTACGGCGAGGAGGCGCTGCGCGTCACTCCACCGCCAATGGTGCCCTTCCTCAATGGCGACGAGCTGGACAACGTTGAGGGCGGCGAACTGCAGCATGTGACACGCGTACGCCTGGTGCAGTTCCAAAAGAACACCGACGAGCCCATGGTAAGTCAAATTGTCACCACAATTAGCCGATGTCGCTGAAATCCCTTTGCCATTCGCCACCGCAGGGCATCACGCTTAAAATGACAGAGGACGGACGCTGCATTGTGGCGCGCATCATGCACGGCGGCATGATACACAGACAGGCCACACTGCACGTGGGCGACGAGATACGAGAGATCAACGGTCAGCCGGTGCAGCATCAGTCAGTGGGTCAATTGCAACGAATGCTGGTAAGCCGTGTGTTCCCTTCCAGGCAAAATATTGTTCATCAAGTGGGTTTTTCTCTTTTGCGCAGCGCGAGGCACGCGGTTCGGTTACCTTTAAAATAGTTCCTTCTTACCGTAGCGCACCACCACCCTGTGAGGTAAGTTCTCTTAAGTTCTATTTGTATATTTTGTGATGTTAACGAACAGCCCACGTTGCGCCCTTTAAATTAAATCATTTTGATCTAACTACAACTCACTGTTAAACCGTTTCAACAATTTAAGTATTCATCAGAACAACATTTTGCGTTATAAGCTGCATTTTCCATAGAATAGAATAGGTTTCATGCTTTTATTTACATATAAACTGTGTGGCCTCGAGCCAGAATAACTAATTTGACAGGCAAAAACTCAACTCGATTACAAACCATCATAAAATACAAACTGCGGTCATTTCATTTAGTTTTATTATTTATTAAAGTTTTTTTAATTAAATGAGATTTAGGTCAATGCTTTTTTTTTTTGTCGTCGTGAATGACGTTTGTCAATCAAATTTAGCTTTAAAATAAGCTTGAATGCCTAAACTTTTACCCAAAGTTGTATTCTCAGATTGAACAGAGCGAAAGTTTCGGAAATTCATAAAGTTTTGTATAAGCAAACAACATTGTTACAAATGTATATACAGCCATGACATGAAAACAATTAAATTGTAATATTCCTGATAACGTTCGTTATATAATCCTTTGTGCATTTAGTTACATTTTATGCGAATTTGAAATTGGAGAAGGAAGAGAAATAAACAATTTGCTTTGTGAAATTTTAGTAGTAAAGTTCGGTTTTGCAATTTGGAATGAAATTTAATTCTTATTATTCATTTTGAATCATGAAACACACGAATGATTCGTGTAATATGAAATTACTTTGAAATTCATCAATGCAAATCAATTATGTAATTATACTGTTGAACATTAACATGACTCCTACTCGCTCTTCACCCCTCCCCACTAACACACATGCAGCTTTTCAGGATAAGACCTGCTCCAGTGCTTGTAAGTATCACATTCAGACAAATTAACATGTAAAGCATGAAACAGACACATGCATCCATATCATGCCAATGCCTACATCTATCTAGACTTAAAGCCAATCTGAAATTTGACTTAATAAACATAGCTACAGTAACATCAGCATCAGCACTCGCAATAGCAATCGAATGGATTTTGCTTGTCCTGATGCCATTGTCTATTGCATGCAGATTTGAACGAAACCAAACTCCCCGCTAATGGGTAGCTGTGTATGCGGGCATCAGTCCGACAGACGCATTAGGGATCTATGACTGCAAAGCCATATACTAAAAGGTTTTTGTTGGGTTTTTGTTTTTTTGTGCAGATTTTCGTTCGTGCACAGTTCGATTATAATCCGCTGGATGATGAGCTTATACCGTGTGCCCAGGCAGGCATTGCATTCCAAGTAGGCGACATACTGCAGGTAGGTCCATTTGGAAGCCTCACTGAAACCTCTGGCATTTGGCACTAATGACCGACCACTTCATTCTGCTTAGATCATCAGCAAGGACGATCATCATTGGTGGCAGGCGAGAATTGATACGGTGGGCGGTTCGGCGGGTCTGATACCATCACCAGAGCTACAGGAATGGCGCATTGCTTGTCAGACCGTTGATAAGACCAAGCAGGAGCAGGGTAAGTGCATATATCAAGTGGCTACTTTACATTTCCATAAATACATGTAAACGAAATATCTGTGTACTATTTATATGTGTAATTGGATGCTAAATATAATCGTATGCTTTATAATTCAATTATATTGGAAAGCGTGTGATGAATTCGTAGTTAACCAAAAACCATTCTGCAACAGGCAGCGCCCAGCCAACACTAGTACACATGTCCACACACCCACACCCACTCACTCTTTACCGTACATACACACATGAATACAAACCCGAGCATTACAACAGAAATTTTTACAGAGAATTGCATGACAAAAAAGTAGTTTCAAAAGTTCCCTAAATTTCGTCGACATAAAAAATAAAGAAAAACATAATGGTAACGGTAAAGGGCCTACTCTTAGATTGAGAGTTTCATTTTAAGACACAAGCCTATCTATAGGTAACAAGTACATATAATATATATTCAATTTCGTGAAATCGTCAATCACACATATTCTATATATAAATATAAATGTATAACAATGTTGTGCAGGAGAGCCGGGTGCTGGATGTTCCGCTCACGCAGATGGGTGTGATGGATCAGCAGGTAGCTAATACTCCTAAGACCCAAGTTAAAAACTATTTGAACAACAACAGAACTCTTAACGTTTTCTTTTCTATAGTTTTATGTTTACTCGAATTACTTTCACGTCACCAAACGTAGCAAAGTTCATTTGAAACGGCACACCCACACCCGATACCTTAGAAAAGTATCCTTAAGTCATATATACTCATTATCGGTTCTCCGATTACCCATGCAGAGGAAATATTTATATGCATAAAGTGTGCTTGTTTGCTCTCGTTGATTTCGTTTTAATTCAATTAATAGTAAATTAATTGTGAATATATATATTTTTTATGCTACCTATATTTAAATTTCAATTAACCATTTTTCTCGATTGTTTCATTAAAATAATTTCCTTTCGGTTATACAGATATGCAAATTCGACATTAAATTAAATACAATTTCGTTAATAAATATTTTTTCGAACGGTAAATAAATAATGGAGCAGTATTACCTCTGCAAGGCTACAAACTTACAGCAGCATTTCATCAAGAGCACCAATAATTATAGTCATTGTTCAATGCTATTAATTAATCATTTCTCATGCAGTTTCCAGATGCAGCTTTGACATTTCATACGAATTTACTCATACATAGATGCGCTTCAATAACACGAACATTTTATTTCCACAAAAGCCGATATACCAATATTTAATATCATCAACCTAAACGAATGCATGATCCTTGGTATTTTACAAAGTACTGTTTAAAGTGAGGATATTTTAAATAAATTCTAAATGAATACGATTAACATTTAAAGCTCGTTTGAACTTATGTTACACTTACAGCATTTAAGAGCGCATTTCTAATGCATGTTTTAAGATAATAAATGAGCTATTTGCCTATGCCCAACTGCTTCTAAATGTATCGCTTTATGTAACCCACAGTGAACTGTTCCATATTCGGGCGCAAGAAGAAGCAATGTCGAGACAAGTACTTGGCCAAACACAACGCCATATTCGATACGCTCGATGTGGTCACATACGAAGAGGTTGTCAAAGTGCCAGGTATGAAATAATTGGGATGTCATGCAACTAGAAGATGTAATAATATGAAATGCTCTCGATTTAGTTGGTGATCCGAACTTTCAGCGCAAGACTTTGGTGCTATTAGGCGCACATGGCGTGGGTAGGCGGCATATTAAAAATACATTAATATCAAAGTATCCCGACAAGTACGCTTATCCCATACCACGTAAGTCAACTAGTTGAATCCATTCCGAGTGCTTGATTGATAACATTCTATTTCTATTCATAGATACAACGAGACCTGCTAAGCCCGAGGAGGAAAACGGACGCAGCTATTACTTTGTTTCACATGACGAAATGATGGCCGACATTGGTGCCAACGAGTACTTAGAATATGGTACGCATATCATCTGAAATTAGACATGCCTATTCAGAGAATGTATTAAATCGAAATTGTGTATAAACAGGCACTCATGAGGACGCCATGTATGGCACCAAGTTGGACACCATTCGACGCATACATACCGAAGGCAAAATGGCCATACTAGACGTGGAGCCGCAGGCGCTTAAAATACTTCGCACTGCTGAGTTCACGCCATATGTGGTGTTTATTGCGGCACCGTCGCTGCAGAACATTGCAGATGTAAGATTTGAGTTGCACCCACTGACCTTTGGCGTAGTTGACGTAATTCTTTGTAATTGCAGTACGATGGTAGCTTAGAGCGTTTGGCTAAGGAATCGGATATGCTGCGTCAACTGTATGGGCATTTCTTTGACTTGACCATTGTGAACAACGACATTAGCGAGACGATTGCTACGCTGGAATCGGCCATTGATCGGGTGCACACTACACCCCAATGGGTGCCCGTGTCTTGGCTCTACTGACAAGACAGTGAGCTGGAATGTCCCGACTGTCTCGATGGCTGCGATTGTGAGTGGGATGCATACACACAGGCGTCCAACGTGGCGCTATACTGAGGACAAATACAGATACCATTAAAGTATTAAAAGGCACAAATGCAACACAACAAACATACATCTACACACACTCACACATAATGAAGGCGACAGACGCCTGGCGTCCGCTAACATTACACACAAATATATATATATA